CATATGTATATACCTATATAGAGATATATAAAGTATAAAATGCATACTGTTTATTTCCTTAGAGTACAAACATGGTAAAGTATTAGCAACCGGGGACCCTGGGTGAAGGATATATGGGAATTCTTCATACTATGATTTAATTTTTTGTATATTTGAGAATTTCAAAATGAAAAATAATCTAAAGGGTCAGCCTACCCAGGGCCTCCTAACCTCACTGGGTAAAGAGCACCAGAACCCCCGGGGGGATTCTGAAGGTCTTCATGACCCTGGCTTACTTAGAGAAAAGGTAAGAGTCTTTCCCAGGCCCGAGGGAGGCTCTGGCAGCCAGCTCACCCACCACGCTCCCCTTGCTCTCTGCTCTCCTCTGCCCAGCCTTGCTGCTGTGCTTCAAAGCAGGATATGCCCATGCCAGAGCTTTTCTCTGGCCACCATTTCCTGGGCCTAGAATCCTCTTTCCCAAGTAGCCTCATTTTCTTACCTCCTTTGACTCTTCCCTCTAAAGTCCCCTTCTAACAGCCTACATTCTGCTCCCCTCCTGCCTCACTCAGGGATATTTCACCTCCTAACATCTGATTTCCTGTCTCTTTCCAGCAAAAGGAAGCGCCAGGGACAGGATGGTTGGTTCTGTTCATGACTTTGTCCCCAGAGCCTATAAAAGTGCCCGAGCCAATAAACATCAGCTCTACTTGTATTCTGCTATTTAGCCTACAGTACCTGACAGAAAAAGAGCAGATTTAAAAAAGTATACTTTATCCTAAGAACCACCACCCAACAATGTCTAGGAGATCATACTAAATAAACGAACAAGCTAAGACTTACATGTGTACCAGGAGCACAGCTTTGTTAAAGGTGTGTAGAGACAAAAATAATACACCAAATTCTATTAGTTCTTGTTATAAAATGATGATGGATTTCCCTCCTCTGTTTTCCAGTTGTCTGTGTTTCCCCAGCTGTTGCTTTAAAAGTAAAATAAGTTTTAGGTGGGCTTGGTAGTACCTGCCTGTGATCCTAGCTAGTCAGGAGGCCAAGGCAGGAAGATCATAAGTTTTAGGCAAGCCTGTGCAATCTGGTAAGACTATCTCAAAATGAAAAATAAAAAGGGCTAGAGGGCCAGGGATTACCTCAGTGATTCTGCCGCCTGTCTTGCAAGCACAAGGACCGGAGTTCAATCCCTGGTATCCAAAAACAAACAAACAAAACAAAACAAGACAAACAGTTCACAAAAGGGCTGGAGACATAGCTCAGTGGCACAATAGTTGCCTAGCATGAGCAAACTCCTGGGTTCAATCCCCTCCAGTACTGAAAAAAAAAAAACAAAAAAAAGTAAATACATTTTAACCTATTTTTTAAAAGTGACTGGTAGATTAAAAAATGCTCAATCTTACTAGAAATCAGAGTGATACAATTAAAATTCCAAGATGTAAAACACTGGTGGCGGAGTAAAGAATGGAACAGTCAGCTGGGAGAGTGATTTGGCAATAGCTGCTAAAATTAACTCTGCTCCTCAACGTCTATCCACAGAAATATTTTTATTTGTGCAAAAGGAGGGACGTCCAACAGCATGCACTGAAGCTTCATGCGTTTCCAGAGGGGAAATCTAGAAGTAAACTGGATGCTCAGCATTGAGTGAATGTGTAAATAAATCCACACCGTGAACTACTGTGTAGCCAGGAGACAGAACACACCAGATGTACAAGCCTGGAAGAACTGAGGGACATATGGTTAGATGAAAAATGAGTTCTTGAGCTACATATCCATGGACTCTCACATATGATTCTGAAATAATACATTTCTATAAGCCAATAAATACATCAATAAATGTACATGTCAATAAACATCAGTAAATGTCTAAAAGGGCGAGGAAGTTAACTCACTAATCCGATAGGAGATAGGGATAAGGCACTGGAATGAGGAGGAAGCTAAGGGAGATTTTACTGTTTTGTTTTGTTTTTTTTGGTTCCGGGGATCGAACTTGGGTCCTTGTGCTTGCAAGACAGGGTGGCACCACTGAGCTAAATCCCCGGCCCGAGATTTTATTGTTAATATCTGTATTCCCTTGTATGGTGCAAATGTAGGCATAAAGTACTTGCATAATTAAAAATAATAAAGTTTAAATAAAGCACATAAAGAATAAAGTACATAAAGAATCTGGCCACCCCAGGGTGCTCCTGCAAACTCACTTCTGTTAAGCCTTTCATGGGTGGTCCACCACCGAGCACTTCCTCCTGCAAGCAAAGACAGCAGGGAAATGGATGGAAGGGTAGAAGGAAACGCAGAAAAGGGCCAGAGAGGGGATGAGGGATGGTAAACAGTTAACAGGGAAGGCACAAGGAGAGGAGAAACATGAAGGGAAGAAGGAAAACCATGTTAGGAGATGGCAAGTCGATATGAATGCTCTCATTGCCACATTTCTCTCCAAAAGAGCACTAGAGTTCCCAGAGTTCCCAAGGGCCTGGCAGCCTCAAAAAAGGACTGAAAAAAGAAGCAATCTTCTGGCCCGGTGTGGGAGGCTGAGGCAGGAGGATTCTTGTGAGTTTGAGGCCAACCTAGGCTACACAGTGAGTTCAAGGCCAGTCTGTAAGACTCTGTCTAAAAAAAAAAAAAGCAAATCTCATCTTCAGGGGCTCTTAATTTGGCCTGTTAAGAACAGATTGGAAATTATATCTCTAGTAAGTGTATGTGCCTTTCACCAGGTCCCTACATCCTGTCCTTTGCAGAGAATGGAGCAGTGGGAGCTGGCATTGGGAGGTCAACACTAGTAGATGTCAGAGTCACAGGAGGCTTACCATTCAGAGGCATCTCTGGGGTAGGGATCATGCACTGAAGTTTTTCAAATCTCCCAATAATTCATTTAGCCAGTTGCAAACGCTTCTCTAAAGCCTCCTGATGGTTTACTAGGTCACCCACTAATATAAGAAGTGCCAAACTTTCCCCATCGTAACATCCCACACTTTTTCACAATGGGTTATGGTCAACAAAATTTGGAGTCCTAACTCTTTCTATATGAAAAAATATATTAATCACCCAACCTCCCATCAGTCACAGCTCATAGCCACCAGGGAGCTAGAAGTAGCTGAGTTAGGGTGGGGTTCTGGGGCCAGCTCAGCCACAAGTAGGGTGGTCTGGTCATATTCCATCACCACGCCTGAGTTTTCCTCCTACAAGAGAAGTATAATTCCTCTCCTCCCAAAGATGGAGCAAGGACAACTTTCAGGATGTGACTCTGCGAACTTGGAATCCATTGCAGAGTAGGTACTCTTAAAATGTGGGATTTTTAAATATGGTACTAGGAAATTTTAAATATGGTATTAACAAAGAGTTGGGAAATTTAAAACTTGTATTCTCTTGGATACTCACCTAAGGAAAGGGAAGTTCCACCCATCCATTTACCTATCCATCCATCCATCCTTCTACCCAACCACTACCCACATATCCACCCATCTTTACTTTCTTTTTTCTTTTCTTTCTTTCTTTTGAGACAGGGTCTCACTGTGTAGTTCAGGCTGGCCTTGACCTCACTATGTAGCCCAAGCTGGCCTCTATCCTTGAGAGGATCCTCCTGCCTCAGCCCCCTGAATGCTGGAATTACAGGTGTGCACTACCACACCTGGCTCACCTTTACTTTCTAGTTGTTTCTGGGGCAGGGATGGGAACACAACTACACAAGTGTCATGAGCTGTCTTCTTCCTGGGTGCCCACTGTCATCTCTCAGGTGCTAAAAAAATGACCTCACCAAATGAAAAGCAACGTTCTTTTCCACTCCCTTAAGTTTTTCGAAGGTTTCCAAGATTCTTAACAATTTTCTGCTCTCAGAAACATCAAAACACAACCACAGACTGGCAGACAGAGACATTCTTTGAGTGGATTTTTGTTTTCTGGCTTTCATTTAAAATAGTCATCAGATTAAATAAAAACAGGCAAAGTGCTTTGGCAGAACTCTTTCCCACAAGGCTGTCTCAATAGAAAATTTGTTTTAAAGAAGTCTCTTAGGTAGACATGCCTAACTCTGGCCCTGAGTAGGTAGAGTTGGCCACAACTGTGGCTCTTCTGGGGTCTTTCTCCAGGTACACTTTGTGGGTGTGGGGGAGGCATGAACTGGGAGCAGCAGGACTGGAAAGCCCCTCTTCTCCTGCAGCACACAGGCCAGTCTGCAGTCCTGCCAGGTGTCTGCTTCTCCCAAGGAATTTAAGAGCATGGATAAAGTTTAAGGAATGTGTCTGAAAGTTAAAACCACCAGCACCTATCCAACAAATGTCCATTTTTGAGGCCCCTGACCTGCCTGCCTCCCAGATCTGAGCATCGAAGCCTGAGTCAGTCTTTTAGTTCCTGCCCTTTCTGTCTTCTTTAACCAAGGAGATTGACTTTCCTTGGATGTCTTCCAACCCATCCTTCCTGCCTCCCCCTTCTACTCCAGGTCACAATATTGCTAACTGTACAGCACAGCAGTTTAAATCAAGAAATGAATTTGCACAAATAAATGAACACACCCTTAGCTAAGATCCCTGCTACTCTCCTCAGTCATTTGTAGCTCACCAGCTCACCCACCTACCACCCCATCCCCTTCATTCTTCTTGGGCCATAGCCACCTCCTCCAACACCCTTGGTCCTTTCCTGGGAACGTGGAAATCCAGGAGATGGTGCCAGGGTCCTGCCTTGGTCCCACATCCGGTCACCTATTGTTTTCTCCCTCTTATACTTTTCATTTATTTATTTATTTTTATTTTGATACCGGGGATCAAACTCGGGACCTTGCACTTGTGAGGCAGGTAGCAGAACCACTGAGCTAAATCCCTGGCTGGCCTCTCCCTCTTGATACATTCCTGTGCTCTCACTGGTCCCTTCCTTGCTAGCTCCTGCACACCTTCCCACCCCACTCTGGGTCACCCTTCCTAGCTTTCCAACGCATATCCTCTCATTGGCTCACCAGGACCTCCAATCCTCTGATCCTACCATCCTTCAGCATCCACTAACTGCCTCAGGTTCCTGCTCCCCTCCCCTCCTGGCTGGGCATCGAGCTACTACACCGTCCTTACTCCTTCACCCTTTCCCTCCTGGAGAAAGTTCAGTCTGGTGAAAGTCACCTTTGTAACTCTGCACCTGCATTTTCACGGATGAAAGTAGCTGAGGAAAACCCACAATGGTGCCACAGGTGTCATTCTAGAGGACTGCTTGCAGACAGAGAGAGGTCATTTGTCCAGCTGTCCTCCCCTCTCCCCAGGAGCATTCCCAAAACGTATTGTTAATGCTCTGTTTGACCTCATTTCCCCAATCCCACCTCATCTCTTTCCCCTTTACAGCTTAAACTCCTCCTCGTGGTAATGTTACAGGCCTGGTTTCCAACCTTCTCCTCTTGTTCTTGATCCCAGATTCCACCTCTATCACTCAGCCGAAGCCTCTCAGGTCACTGCCACAATGGCCCAGTGGTTATCCCTGGTCCTCCTCTTCTATGGCCCCGCAAAAGTACCCAAAGAACCCCCCAAACATCCACACACATCCTGAACACCTTCTTCCCTAGGCTCCCAGCACTCTGCATTGGCCTACTTTTCTTCCAGCCTCCCTGAGCTCTCTGGATGCCTCCTCTTCACACCCCTTCTTCCCAGGAGTTAGAGGACCCTAGAGCTCAGCCCTGCAACTCCTGCCTACCTGACCACCATGCTCTCTCTGCCTTGCCGCCCAGCCTCCCACTCCTCAGCTCTAGCCTTCTGACTTCCTGCTGGGCCTGGACTCCTCCCAGCCCAGCCCTTAGCCCATGCTCATCTCTATCTCAAAAGTTCCCTTTCCCCTCTATCACTGACAGCATCCCTAATCACTCAGTTTAAAATTACAAGCCTCCCACTCCCCTCCATGCTCCTCATGGCCACCCCTTTCCATTTTCTTGTTTTATGTTTCTCTTTATGTTGCAAGATCCCCCAGCACTGGAATGTAAGTTCCAGGAGGGCACAGGTCTTTGCAGTTTTGTTCAGTCCTGGACAATGAGTTCTAGAGCAGTGGAGAGCAGAGCCTGGCACGGCGGTGGGGTGGGGTGGGCTGGAGTGCTTAATATACTCCCATGGACAGGGTGAGCACAACCCAGGCTTATACAGTGATCTTAGGACTTCAAGGACACACAGGAAAGCATCATCCCATTTCTGCCTCTCCTACAGGGGTATTTTCTGTCCCTACTCCCAGCCTGACTCCTGGTTTGAGTTCCAGGAAAGCCATGGGGACATTCTGGCTTTCAAAACAGCAGGAAGACTGGGTTTTCTTCCCACCCAGATAGGGAACAGATGACTACATCCAGCTTTTCTCCAAAGCAGGGCTCCCAAGTTCCTCCCCTTCTCTGTCCGAGGTACGGCGTGGGATGAATACAAAAGGTGGGCACTGGGACCCTGAGCTGAGGCCACCTCCTGTGTGAGGCTACCACAGATTGACACAAGAAGGGGAAGATGGCCTGAGATTCTGGTCAGAACACCTTATGCATCTAAGTACTCTGGCACACAGAGCCCTGCGGGAGTGCCCAGGAGACTCATTTCTTAGGCTTCTAACAACAGCCTGTATTTGAACTCAGAGAAAATACACCTAAGTCACAGCTCTCTAGTCCTGTGCATTCTGGGTAAGATATGATCTCCAGATCATAATCTCCACAGAAGATTGTGGAGGATAGGAAACAGTGCCTGGCACACAGTAGATATTCCATAAAAATATGTTCAAAGGCTTATGAGTCTGGCTGGCCCTCAGCTGTTCATGGGCAAGAAGGAGTGGAAGTAGGTTTGAGAAGTCAGGGGTATGCAGCTGCTGGGAGCTTCTGGCCTGGACCCCAAAGTCTCTCCTACATGATTCCAGGTGCTGTGCCCCAGGGAATCCTTCCCAACTTGGCAGTGGTGAACCATGTTACCAGATACCGCAGAATTAAAGTCCCCAGTATCACTCTCTGAGCTTGCCAAGCCCTGCCCTAGGCCAGTGCTCACCTGGGAGATGTGGGACTGTGTTCTCTGGCTCTCGCTGTCGCCCTCTGTCTTGTCGGCCAGCAGCCCCTGCACCTGGTACTCCAGCACATAGCTGTCGATGAAGCGCTCCAGCTCCTCAATCTCCTGGGAGCGGCTGCTCCCCGCCTCGGAGGAGGCTGATGCAGCAGAAGAGTTTTCCATCCCACCAGCTCAGGGGCCTGGGCAGGCTGGTGGGAAAGAGAGCAGACAGATTCCATGAGACGCTGCTGGAGGTAAGCACGATGTCCCACTTGGGAAAAACTCATTCTCTCTCCTAGAATCTTTGTCTTCTCTTCAGTGACATTTTGGTTTCCCAATTGACACAAAGTCAATGGGCACTGGTTTATCTTTAGCATAAAGAATATTTTGAGCCATCCCTCTCTTGGGTATCTTTCCAAAAGAATTTCTGCTGAGCTGGGAAAGTCCCTGCTCTAAATATAATAAAAAGGGGGATATGTGGGAGCCCGGCCTTGGCCCTCTAGGAGTTTGACATTTAAAAGGAAACTTCTTCACCTCTATACTCAAGGCATTGATACAATCTGTAACATTCTAGGACTCTGCTTGTTAAACTTGTTGCTGCAACGGAAGAAACTCAAAGAGACAGCCATAGATCTGATGTTATCAGTAAGAGTCAGGAAATTCGGTCTTTGAAAAACAATTATTTGGTGTTGTGTGCCCTTAAAAGCTTCCTGTTGCTGTGAACCTGTAAAAGGAGCGCTCAGGTTTGAGTGTTCTTTCCTTTCTCAATCCTCACTCCCCGACTCAGGCATGTTCGTGTTGTGACGGCTGGACCGCCACAAGTTTGTAATAGCTAAAACTTGGAAAAAGCCCATTTGCCCATCAGTTGGAGATTGGATAAAGAAGGTGTGGTTTTTCTATAAAACAGAATACTACTCAGACATAAAGAATGAGAAATTAGATTCATTCATAGGAAAATGGATACATATTGAGGATGTACTCCTAAGTGAAATAAATAAGTCACACATGTGTAAGTACTGAATAGTTTCTCTGGTGTGAAAAAATATAATAGTACATAAGATCCTAATGATATAATTGACCATGTGAAATAGGAAGAAAGGTGCTAAAGGTGTAGGGAAAATGGGAAAGGTAGGGGAAAGGGAATAAGGGAAAAGAAAAAAATATGACAAAATGAAAAAATGGAAATAAAGGGTTTGTAAATGGGGAGGTGAAGAGGGGGTGAAGGGAGGGCAGGGACAAGGGGAAAAAAATGAGAACCAAGACCTATCATGTAAAGGTACACCATCCCAATAATGAACGTAATTGTACTGTATACCTTAAATGTACCAATAAACTCAATAAAAGCAAAAAAAGTAAATTAATATTTTGAGTTCCCACCACAAGGGGAGGGAAACTGAGGCCAACGGTTGGGGCTGGTGCCTGCCTAGGCCTTACTGTCTGGGAAAAGCAAAAGATGAACACTGACTGGTGCCTGAGCTCCATTATCTGACTTGGATTCAACAAAAATCTGCCACACGAACAGGCCACAGACCATTACATCCTTATCAAAGAATTAGGAGGTACAGGGATCCAAATACAAACCCTATGAAGGGCCTGAGCCCTCCAAGAAAACATCTTCTAAAAAGACTTTCTTTCTCTCCGGTCACTAGACAGTCTCCTAAATTAGCTATAGCCTGTGGGCCTCAGGTCAGCAGCCTTGCCATGAGGCAGCTTGGGGACATATGCTCCATTCCGCTGTAGGACTGTGACTGCCTTCTACCCACAGAACATGAAAGGCGTGGCAGGTTGTCTGTGCAGGTGTGGTCGAGCCATGGACTGTGGTCACCCTCCAGAGGATATGACCGCCCTCAAGTACCCTCTAACTCTCTCTTGAGCTCAGCCTGGCAGACATGACCAGCTGTTCCTGAGAAGTCAGCTTGTCCTGACCAAGCAAGTGACACCTCTCCTGACCAGGCTGGGCCAGCCCATGCCCAGGGGGCCCAAGACTGCAGGGACAAACCGCATTACCTCTCTCACCCCTCGTCCCCTGCAGTCATAGCTGATTCACCAGGGAGTGAAGTGAGCTACAGTCCTCACCTTCAGGCAGGGACCTCCCCTTCTTCTGACTGGTGTGAGGCCAAATGGGAAGGGACTTTAAAGATTGTCTTGTGTCCTGTTATTATCTGGAGACCTGTGATCTGCACGAGGCTCCCACTCAGCCAAGGGGAAATAGAGCCTGCACAGGTCGGAATAGTAGATACACATGGCTTGAAAAACTAGCCTGATAACCTGGGGGGCTGCGTGGATGCTACTGTGGATGAGAAAGGCCAGGGCAGTGTGCTGAAAGGGACATTTGAATTTCAAAACCTTAAATTCCTGAGCACTTTTAGGGAATGCAGTTATGGGCTAATAATCAAGGGTTGGCTGAGGGCTAACTGTAATGAATGCTAGGCAGGGCTCTGAGTGCTCCCCCCGCCCACCCCTGTGCTCCTCTGAAGGAGAACACCCGGGTGAAGACTGCTGAGCTGCAGACTTACAGAACTGGGAGGGTATAAACAGATATTATTTTAAGCCATAAGGTTGTAGCAATCCATTACACAGCCATACAAAACTGACACAGGATGCTCCCTCCTGCTTCCTGTACTTTGCTCACAGTCACCCAGCAGCAACCTCTCCCACTTTCCAAAACTAGAGGTTCTTATACTCATGTGGTGCTAAACTAGAGGCTATCTGGCAATTGGTCTGATTCCCTGGCTAAATGGAAGGCCAGTAGGCAAAGGATTCACCTTGTCCTGGCCATGGGTATGAGTACTGTGACTTGTATTACTAATAGGAACTAGAGTGTTTACTGCACCCTTTCATGTTCTCAGCACTTGATGTGCCTTCAAACCCTTCATCTTCAGGACAACCCCATGAAATTAATGTAATTATACTACTTAGCAGAGGAAACAGAGGGTCAGAGAGGTTAAGTAAAGTGTGCAAGATCACAGCATGGGGCTCTAGGTCAGCCTGACTCTAACTCCACTGCCTCTCTTTCCTCCCCTGTGTGGGCATCCTGCTCAGGCTTTCAGGACACATTCTACTTCTCCATTCCCCACTGCCCGGCCAATGAGCAAAGAACTCTTCAAGGTGCTGGCTCTAGAATAGTGTCTCACGCAGGCTTGGTGCTGTGCCCAGTGTCATGAGCTAGATGGAAATGATAAGGCTGATTCCCAGGGAGGCAGAAAGGGAGATATCTGTAGGCACATTCAGTACCTAAGGCTCTGCCCACTGTTCCTCAAAGACTTCCAATTTTATCAAGAGCTTCCTGGCACACCTGTCAAGGTATAGACAGACAGCGAGGTTTTGCAGGAACTCGACATGGAGCCAGAGTCATTTCTCGGAGGATTGAATGTTGGCCTCTGCCCATGGCAGCAGTCTCTGGCCTGTGCCACTGGGTCCTCCCTGCATGCTTGAATCCCATGCCATCATCGTGCAAGGAAGCCTTGGTGTGGTAATGACCCCAATCCTACACTGGCTCACTGAGGAAGCGCAGGCATTGAGACCCATCCCAACCCTGAAGCCTTTTGGTGTCCAGAGGAAAAAGAGGACTCAATGGGCACCTGTCTTGGATACCTCACGCACTATGTCCTCTCACCACCTTCTCTTCCAGCCCCTGCTGTCTAATCAGAGTCACATGGGATGTGGGATGGCCAATAGCACTTCACCTCAGCCACCCTTGACTCCGATGCCCAAGCTCCTCTAACATGAGAGGTCTATAGGAACCCAGCCGGCCCTTGGTCCCTGCAACCGGAGCATGTGTATGAGGAGCTCATATCTCATGGCACAGCCCTGGATTGGGACAAATACTTTGCTTTTGGTCTCAGATGATATTCTGAGGCATATTCTTCGTGGTTCCTCAGTGGTAACCAGGCCTACAGCACTGCTCAGCATTCGTTCCTTCCCTTCTGTCCACTCTTTCTCCCAAGAATCCGGTTCCCGGTAGACTCCTGGCTTCCGCATTCTACAGCACATCCCTTCCGGGGAGCTGAGGCCCCTCCTTCAGTGGGATGGGACATTAACAGAGCTGGACTTCCCAGGTTCCTCTTATGCAGGAGAATTAGGAGTAGGGAGAGGCAGAGAGGACTCCACTTGGTCTCTCTCTATAGCCCTCAGGCCAGAAGTTCAGAGAGGGACCTGTGCGCCCACACAACATTATTTTTACTGTGATAAAATATACATATCCTAAAACTCACCATGTTGAAGTATACAGTTTAGTGGCTTTAAAGTACATTCACAATATTATGTAACTGTCACCCAAAGCCTTTTCATCATCTCAAGATGTGTGCCTACCTAAGAGTAATTCCTCATCCCCGTGGCCTGAGATTTGGTAACCACCACTCTTCCTCTGTCTCTGTGAACTGGTCTATTCTGGGTACTTTGTACAAGTGGAATCATTTAATAGATATGCTTTGTGACTGGCTTATTTCACTTAGTGTAATGTGTTCAAAGTTCATTCACGCTGTAACATGTCAGAATTTCATGCCCTTTTATGGCTGACAAGACACCATATTACAATAATGCATTGTATGTATTTGCCACAGTCTATATATTCATTCATCCACTGACCTGTATGTGGGTTGTTTATGTATATGCTGCTGTGAACTCATAGGTACAAATATCTGCCTGAATCCCTGTTTCATTTCCTTCAGGCATAAACCTGGAAGCTCCGCCACCTTTTTTAAGGCAAGAAGAGTGAGGAGGAACAGAGTAGTTGGAGACACAGGGAAAGTAAGGCTGTCCACCAGGGCTGGTTTGGCTGCTTTCCCACCTGAGCTCTAGGGGTCTCCTTTGGCTCCGTTTCATCTTCATAGTAAAAGCCGATGGGAAAACCCTACCCAGCTGGGCTGCTGGCTGAGCTGAGAACCAGCAAGGAGGGCCTTCTGTTTTAATGATCAGTGAAAATAAAGAAGGCTGGGGCCAAAGGAAAAGGGAAAAGGAGAGAGGAGAGAGTGGAAGAAGTGAGGGGACACTTCTGATTATGGTCATCCAGGACATAGAGCATGCAGGAGGAGGCAGATCCTGGAGCTTGTCCTTGCAAACCGTGCACTGGGTCCTAGCCCTACCCCCATTCTCTGCCAGGGGATGGATGAGGAGAAACAAAAAGGGCCTGAAGCAGGAGTAGAAAAAGTGCTGAGGCTGCACTTTTCTGTAAAAGTATTAATGGGGTGGCCACAGGCAGGAGGGGCAT